GGAGGAACGCGCGCCGCGCGCTCTGCGATTGGCTCCCCCTGAGGGAGTGGGAGGGAGTGGGAGTGGACTGGATACACCGCGACATCTGGTGATGGCCTGGGGAGGGACCAGGGAAGGGGTTGGGTCGAAATGTGTCCGAAGGCGACACTTCGATTCTTTGGGGGGTTCGGGCACTGATACGAATTCGCTCCGTGGTTAACAAGGCCATCCTGAAGTAACCCCAAGCAAAAACCATCGGTCACCGACGGCAGCCCTTTGGAAACTCAGGCGGATAACTTCACTACATAAACTCATAATATGCTGTATCACATCCCTACAGGTCAATGACCTCATTTTACTGGAGTTGGTCAGTTGGTCATACAAAAAGCACCAAAAGAGCAGGTTTCACTGGGTCAAACTGGACTGCTAGGGTATATATGTACCCCACCCCCACTCTCCACGACGCCACATGCGAGCCTCTGTCCGTCCACCTGCGCGCGCTCGTCCTTCTTTCGCTCGCGGTCTGTGGTCGACCGACGCTCGGGTGCTCTGCGCTGCGGCGAAGTCTTCGTGCCACGGCGGGTCTTCATTAAGGACCGAGCGACCTTGGAGCCTTGGTGGAGAAGTGCTTTCTGGAAGACAATGGCCTGCAACCTAGGACCGGCCTCCAACGCAATGGCAATGGCCTCCAACCTATTAGCGGCCTCCAATCTAGAAGTGGTTTTCACGGCTTCAAAGTGACCTCTTTTGGAGTCCCATCCGGTGACCTTTTACAGGCAGTCAAATGCTTTCCTACGGGTGACGGACCCCTGGAAGCCTTGCCTGACACGAATCCTCATCAAATGAAGACCCGACGCTTTTTGTATATGTCCTTCCAAAAACCCACAGGGTTTTCGGCTTCCTGGTAGAGATGCTGCAAGAAGATGCTTTCCAACAAAGTATAATATGAAAGAAACACAATGAAAACACAGACACCCCAACCCATTCCATCAACCCAAGAGGCTATAAATCCCGTTGTAGGCTGCTCCAAAGTGTCCAGTGGAGAACATGTTCGCGCTGCATAGCCCGACCTAAGTATCTTGATCTCGAGCACACGAGTCGACCAGACTACTGGAGTGGACGATGATGTCGTCAACCACGGCCACCCAAAAGGAGCGAGCGAGCGAGCGATCTCGGAAGTGTCTAGGAGGGTCCCACTGAGGGTCCCATATGCAACTGTCCAGTTGTGTGTGGCTCGGTGTTTCGGTGCGCCTACAAAATTGTGTGACATGTCTCGAAAAGTTAAACAACATGATCCAACAGCACAGAAAGAGTGAAAAGAACATGAATGTTGAGGATGCGAGCAAATCTGCTTTTTGAAGGCCATGTCTTGATTTGCTTGAAATCCGTCAAGCGTGTTTTCATCAGCCCTCATGACCTATCTGCATACCGAAAAGTCTTCAGCAAGCCCAAGAAACCACCAAGAACTCACTCCAAATCCTTCTCCCCTCACAGCCTCCAGCAGGACTCGAGCTAAAATTTGCGTCTCCACATGGGGCTGAGGAGAAAAACCGCGGACCACACCAGCCATGCCAACCAGGGTCCTTCCACCTCTGATCAAGGCACCAGGATCACTTGGAGCCCACATCGAAGCGAGTACCGAAGCGCGTTGCGCCGGGCGATGAAAACCCCGGCGCCCGGCTCCATTCAGAGTGAGGCCATGAGGGCAGGCCCAGGGTGTGGCTCCAGCCCTCAGCCCTGAAGCGAACCAGACATAACCAGACTACTAACCAGACTCTTTCTTTAGCAAAATTGCTCTCTTCCTTTCTGGCATTGATCTAACTGTGCTGTTGGATGCAGTCTGCGCCGTCTGCGCAGGCTTGCTGTGCACGTGTGACAGTGTGTCCCATGCACGATTGAAAACTCAAATGCGGCCTCATTCACATGGTGTCTAAAGCCTGCCATCTCTTGGTCTGCTCACTTTCTAAGCCAACAAGAACTTGCTGATCATCCCCTACATGTGCACATCCTCTGGGCCGCCTGAGGATCGATAGGACCACATCCGTGGCACACATAGTTCTTCCAAGTGATGAACATCGGCAAATGCCACAAACGCCCTAGGCTGGTCTTGAACCCGACTTCCCATGATTTGGAGTGACAAACGGTTTGCTCTTCGGATTTCATCAAACACCGGCACCGTTCCCGCAGCGGACCGCAGACCGTCCCCGGGTGGCGGCGTTCCGATCGGAGGGCACACCTGGGGACACTTGGAATAGGCATGAACCCCAACATGGTAAATACAATGGGCATTCTGACCTTCTCAGATGACAGTTCTTTGATTCTTTCATGTTCTTTCATAAAAAACGAGGAAATTCTTCCAACTGCATGAGAGAGCTTCTCCCTCGATGAGGAATCAACTTCAAGACACCCCATGATCGCCTGCATTCTGATACCTATGAAGCCTATAATGATATAACTTTATGATAAAGGAGAAGGATAGCTGGATGAGGAGCATGAAGGCCACACCCCAATCGCCCAACTGGAGGAGCCACGGTACGCTCCTCCACCTGCATGGCACCTTCACCGACTGAACACTTGTTCGACCCCCAACGCGCCGTTCGCACCTTTCCTTTCATCCCGGTGGGCTTACGGCCGGTGCCTGAGCGTGCAAACCAGGTTGGGGGTGCGAACCGATGACGTGGGTGACGTCTGAGAGAAGAGGACGACAAGTCTTGCTTAAAGATGTTGAATTCGCGATCCTTTCAATCTTCCCAGACCTGTCGGCGTAGGATACTACTCATGTTCTTAGAAGAGCCATGTCGAACATTTTGGGAGGAGATGTCGCTTCTACCTCTCCTTCCTGGGGCTTCGGAGACATAGAACCGATCCCGCTCCTGATATACAGCATTATGTCAGTAGCTTCTTGTTTCTATTAGCAAACATTGTTACTACTAGTAAGGCACTTGTTACTAGAAGCGATGCACTTGTTCCTAGTAGCTTAAATTATGTCTAAAAAAAGAACGTGAACCACGTGGGTTGTTGTACCCAAACACGACCTAGCTGGGACTGCGACGGACTGCCGATCAAGCCAGACCCCCCCCCTACTACCACCCCCACCCCTGGCCGTTTCTCGGCGACACTCCGGAGTGCTTCCGACCGTCTGAACCAGTCGCAGCTCGGTCGGACCCGCGTCGTTGGTTCCAAGGTGCTCATGAAGGTCTCGGCCCTGAGTGGTCCGGACGAGCCATCCGCTGCTCACGGTGGAGGGGGTTGGACATTTGACCCGGCCACCGAACAGAATGGAAAACCCCATCATGCCACCCACCTTGGGCCCAAAGTGCCAGAATTCCACTCTGGCCTCGGTTTTCCTGAGACGATGTGAGACGCCAAGGTGGCGAAAGAAAACCAGCTGCATGGCCTTCCGACCTCGACTCCGACCCCGATCCGCGAGCCCCTCGCTCCGCACCTCGGTCCGCGACCGAGTCGTCCCCAGAGGTCTGCCCCTGCCGTCCGCTCCCCCCTCCCCCACGTCTGCTTTCAAGGCTCATTGCAGTGTGAGCCACGCAGGTGATCCACGAAAAAGGTCCGGCTGCGCGAGCCCCAAAAACAGCTTGACACCGGCCCGGCGTTGGACACGTGTTTGGCCGCTTGGCGAATTTGCGTGGGCATGGCATGTTGTCCCGTCTTTTCAGGACGTTCACTTGACTGGCCCTCTTAGCCCTTTTGGGAGAATTGTAATAGTCTGACAGAGCAAACTTAGATTGATCTTCAGCATGGAACAAGTGATAGAACTATAATCTTTTCAGGATCGAACTAGCATGTTCCATCTTAGACCCCCGACTCTGCTTAACTTGGTTTGGCGAAAACCGCTCGGCGTCACCGGTCGCGAGATTAAAAAACAAGCTTCAGTTTGTCCCAACTGATTAGTCCGATGACTGTGTTTTCGTGATGGTCAAAAGACCTCAAAAGACCGATGCAAAAGATGTGCACCTTTTGAAGGGTTCTTACATCGAGGTTAGTCTGCTAACTACTTAGTACTCCTTGTAACTACATAGTAAGCACTACGCCCATGTAAGTTGCAAAAGACCTCAAATGCTCTTCGGGCCGTGTTTGGACCGCCTCCAAACGCCCTAACGCGGCGGTTTGGACTGTCTCACCCTCCTTGTTCGGCCGGTTGCCTGGCGTCGCCGGCCGGAAAACAACAAGTATAGCGGACCGTATATAGCGGAACAAAAACAGACCGTAACGTTCATGGCACCGTTTCTGAAGATCCGTTTCGTTTCACTGTGTGGGATTTCGTGTCCATTCGACCCAGCTCCATCCACATCTGGTCCATGGAGACCACGTGTGGCGGAAACCGCCCCACGTGAACTCCTGAGCCCGGTATCGGTGGAGCTGTTCTCCATCACCAAAGCCTGGGGTATCCACCAGGTAGACCGGCCTGGCAAGCTGGTCGGGTTTCCACGGTAGGTCAGTGTATAGGTATATAGGTAGGTAGGTAGGTAGGTAGGTAGGTAGGTAGTAGGTATAGACCGGCTTGCCGAGATGCGGGGTATGCCGCTGGTTGGCATGTCGCTACGGTGATCATACAAAAACGACCGAAAGGCCCCCTGCCAGTTCCGACCGAGAGAAGCACGGACAATCATGTTGTTCCACTGCCTGTGGAACCCAAAACCGAATTGGTCGGGCCTGATGAAGAACATGGTGTTTTGGCTCCACTTGGACTAAAAGCATTGTGTTTCTGTCACCTTGTTTTTCCAAAAGCACCAAGTTTCGAACCCGTATTAAAAACCATAGAAAACCGTAGATAACCGCAGAAAGCCGTAGGCCGTAGGCAATCTTATCGTTTTGAGCAAGTCAATCCCTGTCCTTTGACCCCCAAGACCATTCTCAGGAAGTACGTACTCACCTCCAAGACCATCCTCAGGGACCCTATGGGAATAACATAAAACTCGTCTTTTTAGGGGTTCCCCCGTTCTCGGTTGTCCTTCAGGTCCGTCCATCGACGGAATTTTTTGGGGCCCAAGCTCGAGGGTGAGACGTCAAACGGTGTGCATACAAAGAGGTATCGTGTTGTTTTTCATCCGCCAAGGGTTGTAGACCTGCTCCATCTCCACATCAATGCAAAACCTCCAGTCCGCGGCAGTGTTCATCACGCGTATATTGGCATTATTGGCATCCGCATATTCAAACATACGCGCCTTGATCCGTTCAAGCAACGTTTGCCTCTCCGACATGCTTTCCAGCAAGTTGGCCAAGTCAACAGCAGCTCTGAAAGAAGGACATCTCATGCCAAAACGCCACTCCGCAGTCCAACCCATTTCCTTAACACAAGGAGCTGTGGAATCAAACATCGATTCTTGCGGTGACCGACCCGGACGACCAAAAAGGGTATACCCACCCCGCCCAGTCCGATGAGCATAGCTCAAACCAAGGGTCCGCCTCGTATTTGGTGGGAGTACGCTCTGGATAACCGTAGATATCCTTGGCGCCCAAGAGTTCATGCGCATCGATGCGAGCCAAACCGTAGGCCAATTGTCTGTCACAACTCCCTACTTTCTTCTGCTCCTTAGTGAGTTGTGCGGTGGCATTGGCATGGCACTGTGCTACAGTTAATGTCACAGCAGCTCCGACCCCCGCTTCTCCAACATGATCGTACTGGATCCCGTTCACGCTGACGTAGAGCAGCAAGATGAGGGCCACCGTGGACACGGCCATCATCAAACAACGACACAATGCACCGCTCGAACGCCAAGTTCGGGAGGAAGCGCTACACGAATTGCCACAGCAAAGGCCTCCCCTCGTCCAGGAGGGCAGCTTGGTGACAGCGCCCAGTGTGACCGAATCGAGTTCGCTTAGGCCATCGCCTGGGTCGGAACATGGCCGATCCTGAAGAATTCAAGACCAGATTGAGGGTGGGACCCCTGGCTCTTTGCCGAATATCCTGCTCAAAATGTCACCCTTCTTCCAGATCCCCCCCAAACCCATCAAAACATAAACGCAAAAATCAAACACACATGGGCCAGTTGCTAAAGGGCCCACGTCGCACCAACATCGTTTCGATGGAGTCTTTGATCGCAATCATGTCCGAAATGTCGACTGGATATGCTTTGACATTCTCTTTCTCCTGGCGCGGCCAACAAGTCGGTCGTCTCATTTCGACGCCTTGAACGACGCAGCCCAAGGTATCACTGGCGCCAAAGCGCGGCCCTTCCTTACCATTTGTGTGACCCTATACATGTATAAATTCTTGATATTTCTGCCTGCATGTTGCTTTGTTGCGTTTGCTTTCCATGGCGGGTAAACCACACCTTTGAGACGCCAACAGCCAAAAAAAAAAACACCAAGCACATGACCGCATACATGGCGTCATAGGTTATATAGATGGCTATATATCGTGAGAAAAGAAAGACGATCCACCCAAATCAGTCAGGAACTTCCTGCACCCTACTGTAGGCCTCCAGTCGTACCTTCGTTTCGTTTGGGACTGGGGTGGGTGCATGGGTACCAGGAGGGTCCGCCTCCAGGCCGCCCGCCGATGCAGTCGGCACGTCATGGGTCCGGCCCCAACGGCTTCCCATTGGCTTGGCCAAACGGGGGGGCTCCAGTGGGGCGTCCAAGGTGTGAGCCGGCTCTGAGCGTCGGTGGTGAAAAAAACAGGGACGTCTTGAGAGAGAAGACTCAAGACTCAAGTGACCTGCATGGCGCCATGTCGACCCAAAACCTCCAAAAAACGCTTCAGAAGTCCAGTGTCACACCACTCCGTCTAACGTGGTGATTTTCCACAAGTCGTCCGCGCCACTACTCATGTCCAGTGTCGCACGGCCTGAAGCGCAAATCGCCACGTGGGTGGAGCTCAAAGATCACCTCGTCCGTCCGACCCTCCTGGCAGGTCGACGGAGACGTCGTCCGTCCTCGAGACGTACGTCTCGACGTCCACCGGAAGGTACTCCGACTGGAACGACTGGAGCGAACCAAAAGACCCAGACACGACCTGTCTGGGACTGCCATATATAATAACATATATGCGTATACATTGGGGTGGTGGTTTGGGGGGTCAATTGATCGGCATATATGGCAGTCCCATGGAGTGTCTGGGATGGGCTTAGAAGTTAAGCTTAAGTCATGTCATGGAGGAGACGGGTGACCCACCCTGATCATCTGATTCCAGGCTTTTCCAAGTCATCTTTCATTGGAGGAAACACTTCTCACAATCTGAGAAAGCATGATTTAAGCAAACAATTGGCTTCTTTGGGGTTTCGTGTTCAACTCTTTCAGCAACTCCAATGCCGAGTTAGCACATGTAGGATGAGGATGAGAACGTTAGATGGTTTTGGCGACAGTTGATTGGCAAAGAAAGGATGCACGCACGACACCACACACGACTTTTAAGGCAAGTGATGGAGATAACTGTGATCATTGCATGGTTGACCCTTCACCGATACTTTCTTGCATGATCTTGTATCTTTCTGAATGTGCACTTCCCTTCAGCCGCGCACACCCGGAAGCGCCTCTTATCATCCTCCCTCGAAGATCTGCACGTGCTGCACTTGTCAGCTTGCGCCGTTTGAGCACAGCAAGAGTTGGAACGAACTAACTCGTTGTGACGTGAGACGGAACAACAAAACACACCATAATGCAGTGGAAAAAAACATGGTCGATCCATGGTTCTTTCTTGGCATGCCTTTCTGAAAGGTGCTTTCTTGGTAGGCCTTTCTGAGTGAACTCTCGACTCACCGTTCGCCGCCCTTTTTGTTTCCCGCTCCTCTGAGAGACCTGCCTTCAAGTGCTGCAAACCAAAGACCTGGCGACGTGGGACCGAAGGACCACGGCGACCTGACAAAGAGAGATGGAGGATGAGATGGAGAGGAAAAGGCACACGACCCCGACCCCGACCCTGAAGTCAAAATGAGCGTCTCGACCGAGAAACGATCTAGTTTTTAGGCTCCACCTCTGCAATTTCCGAGTTCTGTCATCTGTTTGGGCTATTTGGGTCTTGAACATGACGTTCGCAAGTGTGAATCCAAGCTTCCCTTGGACAAGCGAAGGAAAGCAATGATATCTCAGTGGCTCTACTCGCTTCTACTATGCGCCTTAACCGCTCATTTGCAACATGAAATTAGCTTATTGCTAGTGGAAACACTTACGCATGTTCCCAAGAGAGTTAATTCGCAAAAGGCATGCAAAGGCTCTGCAACAAGGCAAAGGGGTAACAAAAACCAAAAAAACAACATACACGGTGTGATATCCGTGATTCTGGATGCTTATTTTAGTGGGGAACCGCGGAGCGGCTAGGGGAACTGTTCAAGGGGGTCAGACCGCTTCGGCACCCGGCGCAGGCGGACATCTTTTGGGTCTCAACGTCGCACAAGTGACGGAACCTCAGATCGCTGGGAGTCATGGAATTCGTGAAGGAGTCATGGAACACCGCCGAAGACCCAGCTATTTGGTTCGATCTGGAATGGAAGTAAACTCAAAAGATATTTAGATGTCATGGATCGTTCTCATCATCCATCTCACGATATATCATATATCCATCTCTTGAAAAAAAAAAACATCAAAATGAAGGAAAATTGAAGGGGCCTACTTACAGGGTCCCATCATGAAACTTGATCCTCGTCAGTTTCCCATGTGGAGCCCTTATTGAAACGAACACCACCAAGCCTTATTCGTTTTAGGCATTCCATACTGCATTCCATCTGCCAGGAAGGATTGGGTCCCAACATTAGCACCGTGTAGCCACATGTGGAACCACTGGGTGCAGTGTCTTCGTGCAGTGTCTTCTCAGCAGTTCACCCTTCCTTCAGGCTTCGCGGAACGATGGGAATCGCGGTCCGAATCTCAACTGACCAGCGCGTTGGGATGGGGATGGGTCTTTTCACCAGCCTGACCCCGGTGAAACTGAAGGGTCTCAACCGAAAGGGGCCCCCGGGGTGGTATAAGTCCGCAAGCCTCGTTGGTAGGTCGGTTTGGACCTACAGCCACATGTTGTTTGAACTTGCTTCCAATCTGATCGAATCTTAACTTTGGAACAGCTTATGGCGTTTAACATCTCTTCCAAGATGGGGACTTTGGCGTAGCGTACCAACTGGCTGGGGTCCATTTCTCATCTTCAATCGTCAGGATTGGTGAACCTCCTCACGCTCACGCTTTTGGACCCAGGCGCTTGTGTAGGTTTCCTGGGCACGCATGGGGTCATGTAGACTCTTGATTAATGAACCCCCCAAGTTGGATTGAACAAACTCTATAGTGGGGTGTTATTGTTATTGGTCAAGAGTCTGCATGAGTCGAGTGAAGGGCCATCAAATGGCCCTCACTTGAGAACGCGCGGCGAACGGGGAGTCCAACAAAAACGGCGCGGCGTGTGACATTAGAGGCGCTTCTTGGAGGTGACGGGAGTCTATAGCCCTAGGGCTCCTGGCCCACATCCTCAGAACATAGGGACAAAAGGGAAGTGTCATTCGGTGAAAAGATTCCAACCACAAAAAACACCAAGAGCACAAAGACCTGTGCCGACCGTGGCAAGGTAGTAAAAATTATTGAACATCTTCACCACCGAGGTTGAAATCACGGCAAAGAACGAGTTCTCTCACCCCATGGTCACTTGGAGCTTCTGAAGGGGAACCAACCAAGGTGTGTATGCCATGAGTGAACTTCCCAGCTCCCCCACCGTGTTTGCGGGCGTGTTTGCGATCCCTTCGAGCTGCGCGGAGGTTCACGCGGCGGCGCGGTGTGAAACGCTCCTTTCGACGGCCGTGCTTCGGTCAAAGGTGAGGCTGGCAAAGGTGTTTCGGTCGCCCGTGATGCTGGGGATCACAATGCCATCACCATCCTCGAACTCGTCCTCGGATCGAAGTGAGTGAAACACCATTCTGGGGACGAGGTTTTTGTCCAGTCTTTGCTCGTTGGTTTCGAGGTGGTGAAAGGCGGACAGCCAGCAAAAATGAAGGATCCAAATTTCCGAGCAGCACTGGGCAACTTTTTTGAAGGTCCTTCACTTAATTCATGTGCTGACTAGTTCCTATTAATTATATTAGAATTCAAGGTACCACACCAATCCCTAAGACTCATAATACACAGCACGAGCCAAAGTCGATGTAAGCAATTCCGTGGCCAGTGCAGAAGTGGAAGGTTCTCTTCAGCGATACATGAGGTGCTTGCCCAGGCTGCATAGTGAGCAAATACAAACCTATAGAGCAAAAGAACATATAAAACAAATAAACTCCAACCTACACAGTCAACCCCTTACAAATCTCGTAAGTGAGCAACCACACCAAAGGCCCAAATCCTCGCGAAGACTCAACGCCTACCTCCTCAGGTCTTTGGACGGCATCCCCCTCCCACCTTCGGAGGTGGCACTTGACAGGACCCCCTGGCCATCCGAAACACCCCAACTCCACCAGCCCTATAGGGATTCCCCGACCTCCGCCCCCTCTCAAACCCCCGCTCCGGGCGGCCACCGCGGCGCGGGCCGCGTCGACGAGGCGTCCGAAGCCCATGGGACCCGCCGTGGAGGCCGAGTCGTTGAGCCTGGGGCCGAGGGGGGGGGGAAGAACGAAGAGGAAGGGTGAAGGGACCGAAGCCCGGAGGAGGCGAAGCACGAGGTTTGTGAGTTGATGTGTTTTTTGTTATTACCCAAACACTCCATGTATGCCATTTCAGGGGTCAATGTAGGCAAATATGCCATACATGGAGCGTCTGGGTTATGTGTTATTTTTTTTGTGTGTGGGGGGCGTGACTGTGACGTGCTTGTCGACTGGTAGAATAGGGGGAGAGATGATCGTGCGTGGCTATTGTTTAGGGGGAAGGGTGGGGTACTTTGGACTACCTTGGTATCTTTTTGGGGAGAAGGGGTTTTCAGGAAGGTTCTTTCTCAGTGAAGCCAACCTCGCCCTATGTCGGGGTTGAACACCCACGCATACTCACCATCACTCACCTGGCAAAAGGCCAGGATGTGTCACACAGCGCATGTTTCAGCTTCTTTTGGGGGGTCCTCCTATGGTTCGTGGCGGACTCGGCGGTGGCTCCGGGCGGCAGCAAGGCGGAGTCCAAACGCAGCAGTTGCTCGTCCCTCCAGTGTTCGAT